GGGGCCCGAGCCGAGCCCCGAATCCCCTGCGCTGGGGACCCCTCGCTGATTCTCGTGCTTGGACGAGAGTAGTCGCTGCCCTCGGACCCGTATCTTTTGAGAAATAAAATGGATCGGCCCAGGGTGCTCCCTGCACCGGGCACGGCCAAGTTTCCAGTAGCTCTTTTGTTAAGGAACTCTGCCTCCCGCTTCCGCAGATAGCGTTTGATGGACTGCAAATGGTGCCAAGTTGCCTCGTAACCTTCACTAAGTAGGTCAGCCTGTTTAAAAAAAAAAAAAATGAAAAGGAAAAGCAAAATGAACTGAAAGTAAGGCCTTAGGGGTTTTTGTGCCTCTGAGGTTGTGGGTAGATCTAAGACAGAGGGTTTGTTTTGTTTTAAGACTGAGGTTTTTGAACAATGCTGTGTGGTTCATTGGTATGTGAGGATTGTTTTTAAATTTTGCTTATATGTGCAATGGGGAGATTTAAAAGGTATCTCTGTTCTTATAAAAAAAAAAAAGTGGATCAGATATAACGAATGTCATCATTCCTTGTAGGGGTATTTAAGTCTTCTTTTAGGAAGGGTTTGAGGGAGACACAAATCAGTCAGCAAACATTCCCAAAATACTTTTTGCGCACACAGAGTATGAAACTCCTACCCTTGGGGAATAGGAAAGACAAAAGAAGCAGCATAGACTAACTGATAGTATAATTACCGGTTTTTGCATTATAGGACCCTCTGCAGCCTCAAAATCTTACGAAAGCCATGGACTGGCCTTCCAGAAAAATGCACCTTTACATAAAAATTCTGAGTAAAATATTAGAAGTTAATAGAATTCTGTGGATCCTAGTTAACAACCTTAGTATACACCATAAATGCTGGACCTAGAAAGATTGGATTTAAAAAACAACAGCATTTGAACGGAGTGGGAAAGGTCAGGTGGAATTTAAATGAGGGAGGAGGGGTTTGGAATGGTTGGTTAGAGAGACCCCTCTTGAGAGTGATAGCAGATGCAATGAGAAGAAGAAATCAGACTCTAAAGAACACTCTCCTGTGTACTCACAGTGCATGGCATGTTACAGGGGCTTAGCAAATACTGAAGGAAAAAAACACCTGAAGGGCCGAAACTTTATACGTTGACCATTGAAGAGACACTGATAGTTCTGAAGTAGGAAAAAAGGGATGTGGTTCAGTTCTGTAAGCATCTGGGGATATTGCTATTTGTCAGAGTTAAGGACAAAAAGATGATTTTTGCCTTCTTGGGACTTCAAATATACGTAAAGATGGTTCTTGCCTTCTAGGGGCCTTTCATATACATAAAGCTGGGTATATTGAATATACCCTCAGGAAACTCAAATCTGGCAGTAGCTGAAATTTTACCCAAAAGGTTCTTAACTTGAAGGCCTAGGACTGGCCACAGGAAGTTTTATGAATCCTTGGAAATTCAGCATACACCATCATTTATAGTGTAAATCAGGGCTGGGGAACATCTGGCACACAGGCTGTATAAAGCCCGAGAAATTATTTGGTCTGGCTCTGCCAAGGTATTAAAGGTGAGTTAATTAAATGTTTGACCAAATATAGTAGGCTAACTTTTGAGTTGATGACTTTGTATGGCCCTTGGCAGAAAAAAGGTCCCCCACCCCTGGTGTAAGTGAATGTGAACTTGTGTTTTCTGATGAAGAAAAGAATCAGTGGGAAAAAATATTCTCGGGTGAGGATTAACCAAACAAAAACAAACAAAAAAGAATAATTATTCCTTTTAAATCTAACTTTCTTTAGCAAACAATTAATACTATATACCTCTTCTCCCCGTTACTGACTCCCCCATCATTAGCCACCTCATTTTTTAGCTTTCCTTTAAAGCTGGGAATAAAGTCTGGACTGGTAACCCAAAACATACTTGATTCTTTTCAAATTGTCAGTAGACCTTCCCCATCCAGAACAGTCTGGCCTTGGGCAGTGTGGCTCAGTTACTTGAGTGTAGTTCCATGCACTGAGGTCACAGGTTCAGTTCCTGGTCAGGGCACATGCCTGGGTTTTGGGCTTTATTCCCATTAGGGGGCATGCAGGAGGCAGCCGAACAGTGATTTTCTCTCATTATTGATGTTTCCATCTCTCCCTCTCCCTTCCTCTCTCTGAAGTCAATCAAAACAAAACAAAAAACAAACATATTAAAATCAATAAAAACACTTTTTAAAAAAATTCTGAATATCAGTACATTAGGGTAACTGGTATCTCCTAATAATCTTGTTTCATAAACGAGTATAACAGCTTCCAGTCCTTAAGACTCTAGGCCTCACGTTTTTTGTTTTTGTTTGTTTAATATATTTTTATTGATTTCAGAGAGGAAGGGGAAGGGAGAGAGAGCTAGAAACATCAATGATGTGAGAGAATCATGGATTAGCTGCCTCCTGCACGCCCCCCACTGGGGATTGAGCCCACAACCCGGGCATGTGTCCTTGACCGTAATCGAACCTGGGACCCTTCAGTCCGCAGGCCAGCGCTCTATCCACTGACCCAAACTAGCTAGGACTCAATTTTTTGTTTTGTTTTTTAATCCTCACCCAGGGTATTGTTTCCATTAATTATTTTTTTTTTAAAGAGAGAGTAAAATGGTGAGTGGGAAGAGAGAGAAACAGAGAAACATCGATGTGAGAGAGTCACATTGACTGGTTGCCTCCCACCGGGCATTGAAGCTGCAACTGAGGTACATGCCCTTGACGGGGAATCAAACCCAAGACCCTCTGGTCCACTGGCTGACGCTCTAATCACTGAGCCAAACTTGCTAGGTAGGCCTCAAGTTTTTAATATTAAGGATTGCAAGACTGTCTTGCGTCACTTCTTATGCCTATTTTTACCAACTAAAAAAGAAAAGCAAAAATGTTTTTGGTGTATTTATGGTATACTTGAAAAAATTCATTAAAATTTGTTTTGTGAATTCTCTAGAAATTTTTGAGGTTATTTAAAACAACATAGCTATAAAACTAAATTTATCATTTACTTAAAGAACTCGCAAAGCAAGAAATTAAATTTGGAAGTGGCCAAAGTAGATCTCTTGATATGTTATAGGAATAAGGGTTTTTTTCTTCTTCTTGGGATTTCTTCAACTGACAGTAGAAAATTGCAGTCACTGCTGAATTAAATTATAGTAGCTTAGTAGTAATGTTTAATGTTCTTCTGGTTGAAGAGTTCTGTGTATCATTAGTAGAAACAAATTAGAGTGGTTACCTGGCTCATGGTGATTATATCAGTAGACAAGTCTGTGCTAGTCCCATCTTTTGGTAAATAGGCCTTCCGAAAATACACAAACTGCCAATCATTTTAACCTTCCTTTCTCTCTTCCTGCTCCACCTACAGTGATTAATCCAAGAGATGGGCACACAGCCTAAGTTAGGCCAATCTGAATCCATTACCAAGATTTTAAAATTAGGATTTGAGAAGACTACTTTTCCTTTCCTGATGTTTTACTACAAAGTCAGAAATAAGCCACATACGGTGTAGCTGAGATAGGAAGATTCCTGACAGCCTAAGAAATCCTAGCTCCAGTTTTTCCCAAGGTCAGCTGTGTTGTGGTCCTAGCAGTGTATTCCACAGTCCCCTCCCCCCCTTTTTTTTTTTGCTTAAACTAGCAGTAGTTGAGCTAATGCACTCTCATAGATACCTACTTTCATGCCAAATACCTGCATTATTTTTACCAGTTTTCATCTTTTTCCCCCTTCCTAATACTTTGTATTGAAGTGAATAATATTAACTATCCTGTGGAAATTTCTGAATTTTAGTAAAACTTAAGTTTGAATAGGATTTGTAATTAATTTAGATAATCTAATTCTTTTTGTAAATGGTGAAAGCGTTTTTGAAATGAACAAGATTGTATGATGTACTTTAATTATCTTGTGGATCTTTTTACATCTAAATATGTATAACATTCCTGGTTAGTTTAATAAGAGAAGTAGGTACTGATGAAAAAAAAAATTCTAGAATGAATGAGTGGGCTTCCAGTAAAGATGATAGTGTAGGTAAATGCTGTGCTCTCATACTCCACAACCATATCAAAAGTACAGCTAAACTACAGAACAGCCATGATTCAGAACCGCCTGAAAATGAGCTGAACGGAAGTCCTACAACTAAGAATATAAAGAAGAAGCCACATCAAGACTGGTAGAAGGAACCCTAGCTGGTTTGGCTCAGTGGATAGAGCGTTGGCCTGCAGACTGAAGAGTTCCAGGTTCTATTCCAGCCGAGGACACATGCCTGGGTTGCAGGCTCGATTCCCAGTAGGGGGCGTGCATGAGGCAGCCAATCAATGATTCTCATCATTGATGTTTCTGTCTCTCCCTCTCCTTCCCTGAAATCAATAAAATTATATTAAAAAAAAAAAAAGGCTGGTAGAAGGAGTGGAGGCGCAGAATGGACTGGTTGCACATCCAGGTGTGGTGGGTAAAAATCGGAGGAATATCTCAGCTGCAGAGGTTCCCCCTGAGGATCAAGGGGTCCCACCCCCACACCAGGCTTCCCAGCCCAGGGTTCCAGTGTTGGGAAGAGAAATCCCCATAACTTCTGCCTGTAAAAACCAGCAGGGATTGTAGCTGAGTGAGGCAGAGAGCGGCTGGGGTCCCATGCAGTTCCTCAAAAGGCCCTGTGCACACTTACTGGGACTTGCTCCTTCTGAGCTCCAGCATTAGGGCAGCACTTGAAAGCAACCAGGGACTATATGGGGAGAAACTGAAGTATCTGACATCAGGTGAGAGCTGGAGGGGCAACTTTCTCCCAGACAGAAATGCTGGCAGAGGTACACAAATTAAGATATGATCACTAAAGTAAATATTCCAGTAAACTTTACCTGAGCATTCTTTTACTAAATAGTTTGGATTATATGGATCTATAAAACATAAGACATAATGACTCTAGACAACTGCAGTAGTGCAGAGGGTTTATATAGCAAAAAGTTGGGTCACAAAATAGAATCCCTCAAATATAAATATGTTTATATTTTTTGAAGAGCATATGTAGCTTTAGTCAGATTATCTAAGAAGTTTGTAACTCCAAAAAAGGTGGTGAATCCATTGCAGTTTCCTGCTCTTCCTAAACAGAAAAAAACAAAATACCTGAATATCCCTGAATTCAGTACTCAAGAATACTCTTCCAACAATATTAACATTAAAATCCATTAGCGTTGTTACCTGTAGCATTGCTAATGACATAGTATACAATTAAGCCTGAACCTATACATGCATACATATACACACACATGTGCATCACATAGTAATTAAAATTATAAAGGAACTACCTTACTCAGTGAAAAGTAAGTCTTCGTCCCATCCCTGTTCCCAGATTTCCAGTTCTCCTTGAAGGTAGTCACTTTAACCTTTTCTTATATGTTCTTCCAGTTAGCTTTCTCTTTTTCTAAGTAGCATTTTAAAACTTTCTTTACATCGATCTTGCACATTTCTTACTAGATTTATGCCTAAGTGTTATGGATTGAATTGTCTCCCTCCACCCCTAATTTATATATTGAAGTTCTGACCCCAGTACGTCAAAATGGGACTGTATTTACAAATGTAGCCTTTAAAGAGGTAATTGACTTAAAATTAGGTCAGTTAGGGTGGCCCCTAATACAATTTGATTGTTGTCCCTATAAGAAGAGATTACAACGCAGATATAAACCAAAGGGTAGCCATGTGAAGAAACAAAGAAGATGAACATCTTCAAGGCAAGGAGATACGTCTCACAAGTAACCAATACTGCTAACTCAGACTCGGGTTGCTTGTCTCAGACTTATAGCCTCCAGAATTGTGAGAAAATACATTTTTGTTGTTTAAACCACCCATCCTCTGCTACTTTGTTATGTCAACTCCAGTAAACCTTTTAGTACTGGGAAATGGGAAGAGTTTTGAGATGCATGCTAGAAAAAACCTGGTTTGCCTTAACGAGATTGTTGGTAGAAATTTAGATGTCAGAGGCAATTCTGGTGAGGGTTCAGAAAGAAGAGAACTATAGAAAAAGGTGCTGTCATCTTAGAGATATATACATGTATCAAAAACAGAATATTGGTAGACATACATTAAAGGTGCTTCTGATGAGATCTCAGATGAAAATGAACATGTTATTGGAAACTGGAGGGAGGGAACCTTGTTATAAAGTGGCAAAGAACTTGGCTGTGTTGTATTCTAGTGTTTTGTGTAAAGTAGAACTTGTAAGTGATAAGCTCAAATATTTATCTCGGGAGATTTCTAAGCAAAGTGTTGAAGATGCAGCCTGATTTCCCTTTGCTACTTATAGTAAAATGTGAGAGGAGAGATAAATTGAAGTTATTAAGAAATATAGAACCCAAAAGTTGAAGATTTTGGAAAATACTCAGCTTATCCATATTGCAAAAAAAGGAGAAAGCTTGTTCTGGAGAGACTACTCAGGTTTGGGTGTAACTGGGCAGTCATTTGCTAAAGAGATTATGGGCATGTGATATTTTGAGCCAATCAGTCATCTCAACAGAATGAGAGATGGAATAGAGATGGTTTATCCAGGAGAGATTTTTAGGGGACTCTTGGATGGCTTGCACCACTATGAATTGCATGGAGGAACAAGATTTTTGAGGATCTTATACCAGCAGAAATGCTACCAGCTTGGACTGAAGAGGACACAAATGAGATGAAATAAAGGCAGGCTCTTGGACTTCTGGGATTCTATTGGTTGGGCCAGCAGAGCTATTCAGTTTTAAACATGTGTTACCCTTCAAGAATAGGGAAGAATGTGCCTCAAAAATGGGTCAGAAGTTAACAGTACTAACACTGCTACCATGGGCCCAGAACACAAGGCCCAGGGAGAAGCATTGTCTCCTCGATTGGTTCCAGAGAGGTTGAGGCCACTGCTTTCCAGTCTAGTGAGAGTTGAATAATCATGCTAAATATTGAACACTGCTTTTTAGCACAACTAATTGAAGCATTTATAATTTTAATAAAAGTGATACAAAGAAAAACAATTCAGATAACTTGACAATTAATATTAATTATAATTACCCAATATTAATGAATTTATGACAAACAATATCCTATATAATAAAAGCATGGTATGCAAATTGTCCCATCAACCGGGAGTTCGACCAAGGGGCGGGGCTGGATGGGGGAAGGGAGGGAGGCTCTGGGGAAGGAAGGGAGGCGAATTTTGTGCATTGGGCCTCTAGTCTGTCCTATCTAATAATAGAGAAACATGGTAATTAGCCGTACCTCCGCTACCCTTCCCATTGGCTAATCAGTGAGATATGCAAATTAACTGCCAGCCAAGATGGCGGCCGGAAGCCAGGCAGCTTGAAGCGAACAGGAGGCTTGCTTGCTTTAGTGATGGAGGAAGCCAACGTTCCCTGCCTGCCGCTGCCGGCCTCTGAGCTTTCAGTTTAAGAAACATTGTTACAATTATAGAAGCTAAAAAAGAAGCCAGAAACCTGCTTTCAGCCAGCCGGGCCTCAGCGCTGGAGGTGAAACGGTGTTTTGATTATAGAACCCAAACTAACCAGATACCTGCTTTCAGCAGCCGAGGTCTCAGAGCTGGAGCCGAGCCTCAGAGAGAAAGCCGGCTCTCAGTTCCAGTGACAGCCATAGAAGGTAAATAAATCCAAGAATAAAAACAAAAGAAAAAAAGGAGAGGTTTGGAGCTTCAGTCGCCC